AGGAGATTTTGGACATCGTCGCCGGCGAGGCGCTCACGCCCGTGAACGTCGCCACCGTCGTGTCCCAGCTCGCGAAGCGCGGCCGCGCGGGCCGGGGCCCGCGGCGGTCCGACGCGCGGTGGCGCGACATCAAGGCGAGCGTCGAGGCCTGCGCGCCCCGGTTCGAGGCGCGCCACGTCGCGTCGACGCTCCACGGCTACGCCTGCCTCGTGAAGAGCTCCTGCGTGCTCCTGGCGGACGTGCCCGTCCGCGCGCTCTCCGACGGCGTCGTCCGCACGGACGCGTTCCTCAACGGCCAGGCCGTCGCGAACGTCGCCTGGGCCTTCAAGGCTTTGGAGGGCGGCGTGCCGACCCGGGCCCTGCGCGTCCTCTCCGACGCCGTGAAACGCGAGGCGCCGAAGATGGGACCGCAGGCCGTCGCGAACACCTTATACGCGTTCGCGGACCTGCGGGGCGTCGGCGCCGACGCCTTCGACGCGCTCGACGCCGCGGCGCGGCGCGAGGCGAAACGCATGACGCCGCAGCAGGTCGCGAACGCGCTCCACGGCTTCGCGGCGCCGGGCGCGGCGCCGCGGAGGGCGCGCGCCGCGCTCCTCGCGGCCGCGGCCGCGGAGGCGCCGCGCATGACGAGCCAGGGCCTGACGAACACGGTCCAGGCTTTGGGCGACTGCTTCCCCGGTGCGCGGGCCACGGACGGCGACGTCGACGACGCCTTCCACGCGCTGGAGCGCGCGCTGCCGCGCGTCTTCGAGGGTCTGACGGGCGGGGGCCTCGCGAGCCTCATGCGGGGCTGGGCGCGCTGCGGCGCGCCGCCGGGCCGGGGGGCGGTCGCCTGCGCCGACAGCGCCATCGTCCGCGAGGCGCACCGATGCAACGCCCTCTGCGTGTCTTCTCTACTTCGGAGCTACGCGGCGCTCGCGCTGCTGCCGTCGCGGCGCGCGGCCGAAGAGCTCGAGGCCCGCGTCCCGGAGTGCTGCTTCGTCCACAGCGAGGCCGCCGACGCGCTCCACGCCTACGCGACGCTGGGCCTGCGGCCGAAGGCGCGCGCGCTCGAGTTCCTCCTCGCGAAGCTCGCCGCGCCGGCGCTCCCCGCGGGCCGCGTCGCCCGGGCGCTCTGGGCGTGCGCGGTCCTCGGCCTCGAGGCGCCGACGGAGCTCGTCGACGCGGCGAACGGCATCCCCGACGTCGCGCCGGCCGACGTCCCCCTCGTCCGCGCCTACGGCGCCGCGGAGGCCGCGCGCGGCAAGATGTCGCGGCTCGTGCCCTCGCTGCTCGGCGACTTCGACGCCGCGGAACCCGCGCCGCCGTCGCTCGGCGCCGCCTGCGCGGCGCTGGGCCGCGGCCGCGGCGCCGACGGCGTCGTCGCGGGGCGCGGCCTCGCCGTCTTCGTCGACGGCCCGGCGCACTTCGCGCGGAACGACGAGCGCGCGCGGCTCGGCCCGTCGGTGTTGCGGAACGCGCTCCTGGAGGCGCGGGGGCTCGCGGTCGTGTCCATCCGCGAAGCGGACTGGGAGGCGTCCGACGACCAGGTGGCGCTGCTCAAGGCGAGGATGGAGGAGGCGGCCGTGGAGTAATTTTGCGGATGTTTGAGGCGCGGCCCTGGTTGTCGCCTCCGAGGGCACGAAGGGTGTTTCCGTCAACCTGAGGAAGGTGCTTTGCCTCCAGCCTGAGCGGTCTGCGCAGTCGCCGCTTGTTCACGCGCGCTAGCCATCATGTCGGTAGCTGTAAATATTCAATACTGTGGTGGCTGAGGCTACAAGAAGTAGCGCGCGGCGCCACATTCATGCGCGCGCTGCGTCGCGCGCGCCGCCGAGGTTTTCGGCGCACAGAAGACGATGGTCGCCGCGCCGCCGCAGGTTCTCGGTCGCCCTCGCGGAGACGATCGAGAAGGAATTCACGGGCCAGGTGACGGTGACGCAGGTCGGCGACCCGGGCACGACGGGCAACTTCGAAGTCACCGTCGCCGGCAAGCTCGTCCACTCGAAGACGACGATGGGCCACGACAAGTGCCAGAGCGGCGAGTCGACGCAGAAGGTCATCGACGCCATCCAGGAGGCCGTCGACGCCTAGGCGGTCCTCCGAAAAAGAGACGCCGCCGCGCCGCCGCGGTTAGCGCGCGCTCGATGACGGTCCCGGCTCGTCGCGCGCGACGCGATGACCGGGACCCGACAGCGCCGCGCCGCGGCCGGCCGGCGGCATGTCTCCGGGCTCTCTAGGCCAGCTACATAAGCCTCGGGAGCGACGCATGGGTGGGCGAAGAGGCTAGGAAGATGTATGTTGCACCAATGTTGACGCCATGTTGCCTCGACTCTCTGTGCAGCTCTCATAGCCGTCGCATTCCTCGGCGTCTTCAGCGTTCCTGCGGCGCGCGCAACATCCACGGTCGCCTCACAGAGCATCCCGACGTCGCCACACATAGCACCATGCCGACCTACGTGATCACGGGCTGCTCCACGGGCATCGGCCTCGAGCTCTGCAAGCAGCTCGCCGCGCGCGGCGACAAGGTCTTCGCGACGTGCCGCAAGAAGGAGTCGTCGGCGACGGGCGTGGACCTCATCAGCGCCGTGACCGGCGACGTCACCATCGTCGAGGGCATCGACGTCATGGTCGACGACTGCAAGGCGAAGCTCGCGGCCGCGCTCGCGGGCGTCTCCGTCGACGTGCTCGTGTGCAACGCGGGCGGCATCAACGGCACGTCCGCGCTCAAGGGCGGCGACGTCTTCCCGGACCAGGGGCTTGATGTCTGCAGCGGCGAGCGCATGGCCGCGGCCTTCCAGCTCAACGCCGTGGGCCCGCTCCGGTGCTATCAGGCGCTCGCGCCGAACCTGTCCGCGGGCTCCAAGGTCGTCGTCGTCAGCACGGGCATGGGCTCCATCGCCGACAACACGTCCGGGGGCCTCTACGCGTACCGGTCGTCCAAGGCCGCGGCGAACATGGTCGCCAAGGGCATGTCCGTGGATCTGAAGAAGAAGGACATCGCCGTCCTCGCGATCGCGCCGGGCTTCGTCGTCACGGAGTTCGGGCCCGGCATGGACATGCTCAAGAAGATGGGCGGCGTGCCCGTGGAGCTGTCCTGCGCGGGCCTCGTCAAGGCCATGGACGGGCTCACGCTCGAGACGACGGGCCGCTACATGACCGTGCCCAAGGACGGCTCGGACGCGACGGACTTCGGCCCGGGCTGGTAGGAGGCGGCGGCGCCGATAATCACACACACGAAACCGTATGAGAGAAGGGAATGGCCCCACGCGCCTCTACAGGGGCTTGCGCGCCCACCAGAGGTACGTCGCCGAGACGTCGGACGGGTCCTGGACGAAGCCCTTGGACGTGTCCGACGGGTCCTCCGGGCGCATGCCGACGAGGTCCGTCCGGGGCCCGACCTCGAAGCCCGTGCTGTTGAGCAGTTGCTCGACCTCGTCGGGCGTGATGAAGAGGCGCCAGTCGTGCGTGCCCGCGGGGATCCCGCCCGCGATCTTCTCGAGGAGGACGATGAGCACGAACCACGAGAAGTACGAGCGGTTGATCGTGTCGAAGACGAAGACGCCGCCGGGGCGGAGCACGCGGTAGACCTCGCCGACGGCCGCCCGCAGGTCGTGGAAGTGCTCGAGCACGTCGGACATGACGACGCCGTCCAGCGCGCCGTCGGCCGCGGGCAGCGCGTAGCACGTGCCCTCGAGGAACTCCGGCCGCCGCGCCGTCGGGAGCTCCTCGGCCGCCTGCTGCCGCGCGGCGACGAGCGAGTTCGTCGACGGGTCTACGGCGGTCAGCTTGTAGCCCCGCGCCGCGAGCGCGTTCGTCAGCAGGCCGCCGCCGCAGCCGACGTCGAGGAAGCTGCCGTTCGTGCCGC